TTTCAATGTGGGTGTATAAAAATCGCGTTTTTGAGCTTGCTGTCCCTCTAGAGGTCACAATTATTATCGTATTTAAAAAACGTTCGAATATATCACCATTACACCGTAATGTCGGTTGAGTTTAAATTTCGGGAAAATCAGGCATAAACTGCCGGACAAAATGGCCGCTCCTTGTATGCAAATAGTGTAATAGTATGTAATACCGAGGTTGTGGGCTCTCTAGAAGTTACGACTTTTATCCAATTTTGATGAAACTTAAAATATATCTTTATATCCCAAATATCTCAGTCCATTTCGATACAGGTTGCCTGGCAACCGCTGGTTTATATAATATATAACTCTATGGGTAGAAAATATGTAGGGCTAATTTCAAGTTCAAGGTGAAAGTAAAGATTATAAAATCATCACACTTAAAAATAGATAGTGATCGCGTTTAACGTCACTCGACAAAAACTGGGTCATTTCTGAACTAACATGGTTTAATTGTATTTCATTTATTCGCTTGTGCGTAGAACTGTCAGGAAACCGGAGGACCCGGAGTAAAACCCACGAGGTTGGACAAAGCAGGGAATCAGTCGGCCATCAAACCAACTGACAAGGAATGACCCAATGTTTATATAAATTTAAGCTAGGGGCGTGTGTATGTGGTTCAAGCGATGTTGCGATGATACATTGCCTTTAAATAGTGGCCCCGCTTACTTAGTTGAATCTAAAACAAATACTTGTATAAATATATATGAATGTATTGACTGTGGTTGCGGGGGTGTTGCTTAAATTTATTGCAGCGTTTCACCGGTCAGCAAAGACCGGCTGAATTGGCCCGTTGGTCCGTCAACAGTTGGCTTGTGAATGCGATAGAGGTCAGTTTTTAACGGATTCTTTTAAAATTTGGTGCGAAGCATCGTGGTCATGAGGGGACGAACCTTGTCGATGTTCAACGTTCCACCACTTTTCGTTCCGGAGTTGTGCTTCTTTTTCAAAAAAACTTGAGAACGCGATAGAGTTTTTGATGGATTTTTATTTTCCAATTTGGTGTGAAGCATTGTGGGCATGAGAGGACGAACCCTATTAATATTCAACGTTCCGCGACTTTTCAATTTCAATTTCAGAGCAAATATCCCTGAAAGCTTTTAACATGCAAAATCTAATACGCGGCGAATTTTCACCCATTTCGTTGACTCTTTGTAGCCGCCCCAACGATGCCTAGGTATTCCGATCTTTCGATAAAGACGGGAAAATCTAGGTATGCACATTGTCTGAGGTGTGAAATCATGCTCGTTTCTGTGCTACCCCCGCCCCTCGACGTCGAAAACTGTGCGAACGCGATAGAGGCTATAGGTTTTTTTTTAAACAGATTTTTGTTTCAAATTGCGTTGGAAGCAACGAAGTTAAAAGAGGATGAACCTTAGAGATTATATTTCTTCAAGGATCGATGAACCTGGTCAAATTTGCTCAACATCCAAGTTTTCCTTTCCAATAAGCTGTAGTTGAGACAAAGCTGCTGTGTGGGCGTATTCCAAGCTTTGCATGGCTATCTTTCCAAGTTTTTGGGGGCATTTGACAGGGAATGACCCAATGTTTATATAAATTTAAACAGCGGCGGTTGCTATTATACGTTGCGCCTTTAAATACTGCCTCTGTGCGCGGTCGTCGGATCGGAAATAAATATATGAATGTGTTGGCTGTGGTTGTGGAGAGTTTGCTAAATTTACTGCTGTGTTTCACCAGACAGAAAAGACCAGCTGATTTGGAGGGAGAGAAACAGGGAAACGGGGTTTAATGTCCACACAAACTAAGTCATTACAATAAGTCGCTTTTACGTAGGGGTCTGTGGGAGGAAGCCAGAAGACCCGGAGAAACCCAATCAGGTTGGATAGGCTGGCCAACTTTCTGTCACGTACAAGTTGGGAATCGAAACCACGCCGCCTGACTCAATGGCAGACCTCGGCTACCGAACCCCTCTGGCTGCATTGGAGAAAATGGACAGGTATCAACTGCAACAAGCTGACAGATATTTCACCATACGGTACTCCATGCTATGTCTACTCTATTACCAGCAAAAGAAATGGAAAATATCTGATTTATGTAGTGCAACATAATAATGTGTTTAATATCAGATGTTTGTTTCGTTTTCGTTACGTCGCCCATTTCTTTACTCTTCAAAATGATCTGATCTACCTCTGATATGTGCCCGTCCTCCCTGATTTCCACGACGTATTATACTGTCGTCGTGAATCCTCTTCAACAAGCACTCCGTGTGTTGTTTAATAGTTGGCATATCTATCTACCATACCGCGAAAACTGCTCCCGTGTTATGAACATAATAATTGTTAAAGATGGGCTCCCGCGTACAAACTGGGTGATTTAATGATATATATGGACCAAAAACATATTCAAACTAATTAATTTGTCATAATTATGCTTCAAATCCTTCTCAAACATTGTAATTGCGAAGGAATGCCCTGCTATAAAAATTCGATCAAAGCAGGTCATGTTTATATCACGTCTTGGGAGTCAGAGGAGAATTCATTGCATACATAGACGATGTTGTCTTTAATCGCTTACTATTTATTACAAATATCGAATCCTAATTAAATTATCGGATTATCCACTACCCGCGTCTTTTTCCTCATTTTCATCTCAGAAAGTATTGTACGTCTAACTCTTCATAAAGCTTATCAACTTGTACATCAAGCGCTCAATGTTCGCTTGTGACCTTTGACATCACGCGTGCAGAAGTTCCTAATCGTCGGGCTGTTGATTAGGGGAACCCTTACATTTTTGTCCTGTATACGCTCCATGAGTGTTTTTCGGGGAATCCAGTATTTTTCTAGTAAGATTGGATATCTCTACTTTCCATATATACCAAAATTGCTATACTTTTATTGGAAATAACCACCCGATAAATACTTTTCTGGGAACCCATCTTTTAAGGGGAGCTAAACCAACTCAATATTATCCATAATATTCGAAATTTAAAACCTGAATTGACTTTCTGCATTAATTGTTCCATTTTAATCAATATTGGTGTTGTTATCTTACAATGAAAATATGGGATCCTGATATCCAATATTTAAAACACAGTAAACATTTTGAAATCAGTACACCACGTCATGCACTCTATGGTTTCGAGTGCCATTTGTAATGAGCAAAGAAAAAGATGCCCAACAAAACAATGCGGAAGTAATTAAAAAACGACAAAATAATAATAAAAGAAAATGTGTAGAATGGCCTTAGCAGGCGTAAACTAGTCCCGTTCAATTTTAACTGTTCATGTATCATAGTAAAAAAACTCTGTAGAATCCACCATTATATCCATTCGTATCACAATAATATATACTCAGCCAAATTAAAAACTTGACACTCGGGATTTTTGGGACTAGATTTTTAATATTTGGTTTAAGGCAACTATTTTAGTGTTATGTTGTGCACAGACGACCTTGACATCAACAGAAAGCAAGAATACGTCTCGCCGAAAGTCCTTGACATTGATAACGTTCGTGATGTCACAGTACCCCCCAAAATGAAATTCACAGACTTGGAGAACAATCGGAATAAAGTGTTAAGTAACGGTTGTGGCCTCCTCTAGCGTCTCGTACTGCTACACAACGTCTTCTCATGGATCTCAGAACATTAGTAAACACTACCCGAGGAAGACGTCGCCACTGCTCAGTAAGAGCATGTTGAAGGTCCTGCAACGTCACCCAGTTCGTCCCAGATGTGTTCAATAGGATTAAGGTCGGGGCTAAGCGACGGCCAATCCAGGACTTGGACACCGGCATTTCTTAAAAAATTCTGGGTAGCAATTGCTGTATGGGGTCGAGCATTGTCTTGTTGAAACGTTAGTCCAGGCCCATGTCTCTGCATAAACGGAAGAAGAACAGGTTGCAAAATCTGATCCCTGTACTGGACAGCATTTAAGTTCCCTTGAACAATAAGAAGAGGAGAACGTCCATGTGCACAAAAAGAACCCCAAACCATGACGCTGCCGCTACCAAATCGGTCAACTTCTCTGACGCATACTTGAGCATAACGTTCACCTCGTCTGCGGTACACTCGGGCCCTGCCATCGGCAAATCTCAAAGTGAATCGAGATTCGTCACTAAAGACAACCGAATTCCACTGTCTTTGAGTAAATCTTATGTGTCGTGTGGCACACACAAGTCGGTTACGGCGATGAAGAGGTGTCAATATTGGTCTATTATAGGGCCTCCGATCTCGAAGACCAGCAGCCTGCAAGCGATTTCGAACAGTTTGTGCAGTTACCCTTCCACCAAACATCTCTCTACTTGTGGATGTTGCAGTGACAAATCTGTTTCTAAGATGACGTAATCGTTTTGCTTGATCTTCCTGGAGTGACGTCACATGTGGCGCTCCCGCCCTTGGGCGGTCGGCAATAGTTCCAGTTTGAAGCACTCTCATTCTAAGATTAATTATTGTCTGGCGTGTACAATTAAAGGCTCTTGCAACAGTGACCACAGACTGACCAGCATAGAGCCTACCTATAGCACGTAGACGTTTTACATTTGAAAGGCGCGGCATTTTCTAACAAAGATGAAAATAACAATTTTAATTTGTTTTTCCAGTTCAAGTTACGTGTGGGTGTTCAGTTTAAGCAAACTTTCATAGATTGACTTCACAAGTTTGTGTTTGCACGTGTTTTTCAGGTTTTTCATCTTTATATGCTCAAAAGTCACGTGATCCACGTGACTTTACAATTTTATGAAATTAAAGGCTTCTTACTACTTACTATCATTAGAAACACTTTAAAATTTATTTGACTTACCAGAAAAAAAAAATTGTTGAAATTCATCAGTGTCAAGTTTTTAATTTGGCTGAGTTATATAAAGGTATTTGATAATTTACCTCTCTTTATGCCAAATTTAATTTAAAATCGTATTGTTTCATTTATTTTAAGTTTCCAGCGAAAAGAGCTATTCGCCCTTTAACATGATTTTAGAAAATGTAAAGGAGGAATTTCTAAATCTGCTTTTTTTCAGGCTCTAATACTGGATGAAACAGAACAGCACATAAACTATTTGGAATATACTCTTTCGGCACTATTTGATTCAATGGGTTAGTTAAATAGTTATAGATATCGCCTGAATGCATAACTGTTATCTGACAAATTACACAGTTTGACAACGTCCACCCGATTCTAGGAATGCGTTTTATATTGAATTTTGTAAAAGATGTAATTCAAAAACTCCAAAATTTGAAAAGACCATAGACATGAACTCCATTGTTAAAATATACTATATCCAAATTTCCATAGACCAACAGAACTGTCACAGTATGCACTAATTGTCTGCATAATAACTCCGTCATTAATGCATATTTTACGTATTATTACCATAATCTATCGGTAACAAAGTGACAGTACAATCATTTCCCCCATTTGTCAATTTCTAACTGCCAAGGGTCCATTTACGTGCATGCAAATGTGTACATGGCACCGGTTTTCCATTCCATCGAACGACATTACGCTATTCTTTGCCAGGCCCTCCACTCTGCACCACTGGAAACCAGGCTCCAAAATCCTTTGAAACTTGCTCAGCCAACAGCGATCGCCTGGTGAGTTAGTCATTGTCTTACTCACTAAGCTACCGTGGAACCCAGAGATTTAATTGAGTGGCGTAAAGTCGCGGAGATCTTGCTCCCTTTAATGTGGATGTATATTGTCATCACTTTTGGTTTATCAATAGCTCATAGATGTGGTAAAGCTGTTCTTTGGCAATTAGGAGATAAATATCATCAAATATCTCTTCAAGATATTAAAGCTGATTTCGAAGAGAAACAAGCAGCAATATTTTCACAGTAAGTTTATTTTAATATCAAGTTGACAAAATTTAAGTTTTGTTGATGCATTACTTTAGATCACGAATTTGTATATCTACTCACATAAGTATATAATAGATAAATAAATTTATTCGAAAGTTATAAAATCTAGTATTATAAAACCTATGGAGGCCCGCCACCCCTTAGTAATTTCCAATGGATCCCCTTTAGTATTAAAACTGTAAACAAAAAGAAAAAATCCAGCGGGGCGGTGAGCCAGCAGACTCCTAGTAACCTTTCTCATGACCTACAGTCTACATCTACCTGGGCAATATCCCATTCCGAAATTGATGCCAAGCCAATCTATTTTAACGGATGACTATTGTGAATTTCTTCAGATCGTCTCAGGGTAGAAGAAGATATCACCTGTTGTCAGATATAGAGGATCAGATTGTTAATATGTCAGTTAAATGTGAACAACTAGCTATAGTACCCAGAAGTGTTTTAATTCAAGACAACAGAGAAACCTTAAGAAAGGTAATATACATATTAGCAATAATGTGGAAATCGTAAGTTAAATAGTTAAATTTGAGTGCGCTCATCCTTTGGTACTGGACGCTTGGCCCCACATGGCGAGTAGCCATATATAGTCGTGCAGCGACCCATTTCAAATTCCGGGCACTACTTTTCAGCCACAGCCCATAGGGTAGGAAATGACAATATTTTTTCACCCCTTCAAAACCGCTGTGTATTGAGGAAAGTAAGTTACTGATTATAAAAGAAGAGTCCAACCTTTGGCTAGAAAAATAGAATTACGCGGATCAATCGGGTATGGGATACATATTTCTGTTACTGATTCATTTTAATATTAGTACTTGCTTATTCCTTATCCAAGGGAGATAACTATTATTTTATATACTCTCTAGAATAGATATTACTTTTAGTTATTAGTTACGAGCCCTAGACTGGACAACCTGCTCTAAATGACGTCAGGCTTGTTCCTACGTCACTGTACTATTCTGGCTTCAATATATTATGCAAGTCAGAAAAGGAGTGACGTAGGAGCGAGTCTGACGTATTAGAGCAGGTTATCCTTGAGCCTATATATTATTTATAATCATTCTCATCCATCACGCCCTCGGCCGCTTGGATGAGTGGGAGGGGGGTATATTCATACTGAGCGCCATGGAAAACGCATCATTTTTTCTGCATCACGTGCAGCATTGTGTGTGAGCCCTTTAAAAGCATGTTTTCAACTTAATGTGCAGTACATGAACTGTGAAACGTCAATCTGTCGTAATTTGTTGTTGGACGTGTGAAGGAATCGAGCTAGAGATGCCGAGACTTACTGAAAATCAACGGAATGAAGCCATGGGAATGTCCAGGGCTGGCATGTCTACACGTGCTATTGCCAGACACTTCAATTGTCATCAGTCCACTATTGTAAGGTTGGTGGAACGTGTTCGAGTTACTGGATCAACACGTGACCGTCAACGTCCAGGTCCACAACGCGTTACAACCCAGGCTCAAGACCGCTACATCCGGGTCACTCATCTGCGTGACAGATTCCGCCCAGCGACTCGAACAGGTGCAGCAGTCGTCGGAAGACAAGGACCAGTAAGTGCCAACACCGTAAGACGTCGTCTAAGAGAAGTAGGACTCCGTGTGGGGAGGCTTCACATTTCATCACCGGACCGCCCTACACATTTGCAGGGGTCGCGTTAATGCTGTAGCCTACCGTGATGATGTCTTGCAACCAATTGTTGTTCCGATGTTTCGAGCGCACCCACAACTTCAGCACTTCCAACAGGATAGTGCACGTCCGCATACCGCCCGTTTTAGTATGGACTACCTGGCTGCTAACAACATCAATGTCTTGGACTGGCCAGCCATGTCTCCGGACATGGCACCGATAGAACATGTTTGGGATGAGATTGGACGCCGTCTGTATCGGAGACCACAGATGCACACCATTGCTGCTTTAGAAGCTGCTCTTGTGCAAGAATGGAACAATTTGCCACAAGCCTTCTTTCAAACATTGGTAAATTCCATGCGACGTCGCTGCACAGCGTGCGTAAGAGCCCGTGGAGGACACACGCGCTACTGACATCTGTGTCGTACTTTTGGTTTTGACCCCTCTGACTTTGTACCGTTGATTACAGATTAAACATCCATAAGTGTACAAATGTGTTGTTATTGATGTGTTCCCATTTGAATATTGTTCACAATAAGAAGCAAAATAAATAAGATATGTTTACAGGATCATTTTGTTATACGAAAAACTAAGTGATGCGTTCGGGCATCTCGGATTTATATTGTATAGTTTAAAGGGTTTTCAACAAAGGAAATAACAACTAAAACAAATTAGTAGTTCATTTATTATTTATTCCGCAGCCAGCACGCAAGATAAAAAAATTCGCACATACCGGTGGTAAAACCTAACAAAAATATCTCCAGATTTCCAGTCAGTAGCCTTCAAAATGTCTGAAACCAGCATTTTTATCCGATTTAAAAAAAAACCGATTGAATATATCACCTGTACACCGTAAGGGTGGTTGAGTTCGAATTTCGTAAAAATTGGACCAAAACTGACCGACAAAATGGCCGCCCCTCGTACTCAAATAACGTAAAAATATGGTATATATCAATGTTGTGGACCCTCTAGATGTCACAATTTTCTTCTGATTTTGATGAAACTTAAAATGTGCGTTTATAACCCAAAGATCTTTTTTCCTGTTGATATTCGCGCATATCGGATCGTAACTTCCTGAATTATGGCCCCTGATTGTACGAAAAATCGCGTTTTTAGCTACAGGTCCCTCTAGAGGTCACAATTATTATCTGATTTAAAAAAAAAAATGTTCAATTATATCACCGTTACACCGTAATTTTGGCTGAGTTAGAATTTCGTGAAAATCGGACTAAAACTGCCGGACAAAAAGGCCGCCTCTCCTACGCAAATAGTGTATAACATCTGGTATATCAATGTTGTTAACCCCCTAGAGGTCACAATTTTGATCCGATTTTGATGAAACTTGAAATGCATGTTTATAACCCAAAGATATTGGTTCCTGTGGATATTCACGCGTATCAGATCATAACTTTCTGAATTATGGCCCCGGATTGTACGAAAAATTGCTTTTTATACGCCCACATTTTCATGTGGACGTATTATGCCGTCGCCCCTGTCCGTCCGGACGTCCGTCCGTCCGTCCACAATTTGTTTGTGGACACTCTACAGGTCACAATTCTTATTCGATTTTAACGAAACTTGAAATATAGGTGTATCTCCAAAAGATATTGGCATGTATCGGATCGAAACTTCATGGATTATGGCCCCTGTTTGTACGAAAAATCACGTTTTTGGCTTGTGGACCCTATAGAGGTCACAATTTTTATCCGATTTTGTTGAATCTTGAAATGTAAGTTTATAAGCCAAAGATCTCGGTTCCTTTCGATAATCGCGCATATCGGACCGTAACTTCCTGAATTATGGCCCCTGATTGTACGAAAAATCGCGTTTTTAGCTTGTGGACCCTATAGAGGTCATAATTTTTATCCGATTTAAAAAACCGTATTATTATATCACCGTTACACCATAAGGACGACTGAGTTCGAATTTCGTGAAAATTGGCCTAAAATTGACAGACAAAATGGCCGCGGTTCGTTCTCAAATAGCGTAGAATATGTAATATCAAGGTTGTGGACCCTATAGAGGTCACAATTTTTATCCGATTTTGTTGAAACTTGAAATGTAAGCTTATAACCCAAAGATCTCGGTTCTTTCGATATTCGCGCATATAGGACCGTAACTTCCTGAATTATGGGCCCTAATTGTACGAAAAATCGCGTTTTTAGCTTGTGGACCCTATAGAAGTCAAAATATTTATCCGATTTAAAAAAAACTATTATTATATCACCGTTACACCATAAGGACGACTCAGTTCAAATTTCGTGAAAATCGGCCCAAAATTGACAGACAAAATGGCCGCCGTTCGTTCTCAAATAGCGTAAAAATATGGTAAATCAAGGTTGTGAACCCTATAGAGGTCACAATTTTTATCCGATTTTGTTGAAAATTGAAATGTAAGTTTATAACCCAAAGATCTCGGTTCCTTTCGATATTTGCGCATATCGGACCGTAACTTCCTGAATTATGGCCCCTGATTGTACGAAAAATCGTGTTTTTAGCTTGTGGAAGCTATAGAGGTCATAATTTTTATCCGATTTAAAAAAACGTATAATTATATCACCGTTACACCATAAGGACGACTGAGTTCGAATTTCGTGAAAATCGGCCAAAAATTGACAGACAAAATGGCCGCCGTTCGTTCTCAAATAGCGTAAAAATATGGTATATCAAGGTTGTGGACCCTATAGAGGTCACAATTTTTATCCGATTTTGTTGAAACTTGAAATGTAAGTTTATAACCCAAAGATCTCGGTTCCTTTCGATATTCGCGCATATCGGACCGTAACTTCCTGAATTATGGCCCGTGATTGTACGAAAAATCGCGTTTTTAGCTTGTGGACCCTATAGAGGTCATAATTTTTATCCGATTTAAAAAACCGTATAATTATATCACCGTTACACCATAAGGACGACTGAGTTTGATTTTCGTGAAAATAGGCCCAAAATTGACAGACAAAATGGCCGCCCTTCGTTCTCAAATAGCGTAAAAAATATGGTATATCAAGGTTGTGGACCATATAGAGGTCACAATTTTTATCCGATTTTGTTGAAACTTGCAATGTAAGTTTATAACCCAAAGATCTCGATTCCTTTCGATATTCGCGCATATCGGACTGTTACTTCCTGAATTATGGCCCCTGATTGTACGAAAAATCGAGTTTTTAGCTTGTGGACCCTATAGAGGTCATAATTTTTATCCGATTTAAAAAACCGTATAATTATATCACCGTTACACCATAAGGACGACTGAGTTCGAATTTCGTGAAAATCGGCCCAAAATTGACAGACAAAATGGCCGCCGTTCTTTCTCAAATAGCGTAAAAATATGGTATATCAAGGTTGTGGACCCTATAGAGGTCACAATTTTTATCCGATTTTGTTGAAACTTGAAATGTAAGTTTATAACCCAAAGATCTCGGTTCCTTTTGATATTTGTGCATATCGGACCGTAACTTCCTGAATTATGGCCCGTTATTGTACGAAAAATCGCGTTTTTAGCTTGTGGACCCTATAGAGGTCATAATTTTTATTCGATTTAAAAAAACGTATTATTATATCACCGTTACACCCTAAGGACGGCTGAGGTTGAATTTCGTGAAAATCGGCCCAAAATTGACAGACAAAATGGCTGCCCTACTTTCTCAAATAGCGTAAAAATTGGGTATTTCAAGGTTGTGGACCCTATATAGGTCACAATTTTTATCCGATTTTGTTGAAACTTGAAATGTAAGTTTATAACCCAAAGATCTCGGTTCCTTTCGATATTCGCGCATATCGGACCGTAACTTCCTGAATTATGGCCCCTGATTGTACGAAAAATCGCGTTTTTAGCTTGTGGACCCTA